CATTCCGCTGTGCTGACCCCTGATAAATAACCATTAACTTCCATAGTGGGCCATAGGAAGAAAGAAGAGGTGGTATAGGGTTGGGTTTTGGACACGAAAGTGAAGAGAGACTGGGGGGTGGTCACGGACATGATAGCGAAGAGAGGTGTTGGGCGGGGGGGGTGGGAAAGTTAGGATGATTCTAAGGGCCCACGTGTTTTGGGGGCGCCCTAGAGATATTATTAGGGGCCCACCCACTACCACCCCCCCTCCTCCGTCCGCGACTAAATGCCCCAACAAACCAGCCAACATTACATAACATTACTATTATTAATATTACTATTATTATTGTTATTATTATTATTATTATTATTGTTTTTGTTGTTGTTATTGGGCTCCTTTTCTGTCTTAAACAACTTGGAATTAAAAAAAAATACTATAAAAAGCCGACAAAAGTAAGTCAAAACAGCCTTAAATGTCACATATTCGTTTAATATTAAATAAAAACTGAACCATCAGCAGCCATGTGTGTGTAGTGTATGCGTGTGTGAGTATTTTGGTATTTCACAGTACTGGGTTGCATATATGCCGGAATAGTTGGCAGTTCATTCCGCTGTGGCGACCCCTGTTAAATAACCATTGACTTCCATAGTAGGCCATAGTAGGAAAGAAGAGGTGGTATTGACCTTATTGTAAAATGCGGAAGTGCGCTTGTTTTCGCGATTGTCTTAGAACTTCCGTTTCAGTCACTTATGGGAGAATAATAAATGGCAAAAAACGGTCAAACTACTTGCTCTACAAACAAATGTTTGCACGACTATACAGACCAAGTAGAATAATATAACAAGGAAATATCAGTTTGCAACATCAAACAGTAAAACGAGCAGTTTTTAATGTCTAAAAATGAATGGAAGTGAATGAGACCGGAAGTCTCGTGCCAAAAAGATTTTAATGGCTGCGCCCGCTCATCCGCGGAGAATAAGGTGAATAGGGTTGGGTTGTGGACACGAAAGTGAAGAGAGCCTGGGGGGTGGTCACGGACATGATAGTGAAGAGAGGGGTTGGGTGGAGGGGGTATTGGGTGGGACGGTTAGGATGATTCTAAGGGCCCACGCATTTTGGGGGCCCCCGCACTACCACTCCCCCTCCTCCATCCGTGACTAAATGCCCCATTATTATTATTATTATTACTATTATTATTATTATTATTATTATTATTATTACTATTATTATTATTATTATTATTATTATTATTATTATTATTATTATTATTATTATTACTATTATTATTATTATTATTATTATTATTACTATTATTATTATTATTATTATTATTATTATTATTATTATTATTATTATTATTACTATTATTATTATTATTATTATTATTATTATTATTGGGCTTATACAACTTGGAATTTTTTTTAAACATACTATAAAAAGCAGACAAAAGTAAGTCAAAACAGCCTTAAATTCACATATTTGTTTTAATATTAAATAAAAACTGACCCATCAGCAGCCATGACAGTACACATTAACAATTTATTTATACATCATGAACTCAAGCGTACATGACATGACATTTAAAGCCTTAACTAGGTTAATTAGGGTAAAGTTAGGGTAATTAGGCAAGTCATTGTACAACAGGGGTTTGTTCAGTAGACAATCCAAAACAAATATTGCTAAGGGGGCTAATAATATTGACCTTAAAATGCTTTTAAAAAATTAAGAACTGCTTTTATTCTAGCCGAAATAAAACAAATAAAACGAACAAATATTTTAGGAAATACTGTGAAAATTTCCTTGCTCTGTTAAACATCATTTGGGAAATATTTTAAAAAAGAAAAGCGCAGGAGGGCTAATAGTTGTGACTTCAACAGTACTGCAGCCAGCTGATCTCTAAAGGCTTCCATGTCTCCTAGCGGGCGATGACGCAAGATCCAGAGCCCCGGAGGTGCAATGACAGAACACACAGGAGAGCATTGTGCTGCCGGAGCCTGCGTGTGAACACACTCCACCACAAAAACGCTGGCAAGGTTTTTTATTCAAGGTGGGAGGGTCAGATGAGTCACACCCATTTCCTTGTCGGGCCACTAATCGTCTTCAGTAATGCTTTGATTGCTGCAATGTGGCGAGATAACTTCGTGCAACTCTCAGATTTTCCTCATTTACTCACAGAGATGCCTGGAGATGTTGGTGTGGTCGGCTGATTTTGTCTGCATTTTGAGAATTTTATTAAATGTTATTCGTGTTTTTGGTTCCGGTTGTCATGGCCCAGTGGTTAGTACTGTCGCCTCACAGCAAGAAGGTTTCTGGTTCGAGTCCTGGCTGGGCCATTTGATGTTTCTGTGTGGAGTTTCCTTGGTCTCCCTGTGTTTGTGTGGGTTTCCTCTGGGTGCTCCGGTTTCGCCCACAGTCCAAACACATGCGCTATAGGGGAATTGATGAACTAAATTGGTCGTATTGTATGAGTGTGTGAATGTGAGAGTATATGGGTATTTCGCAGTACTGGGTTGCATATATACTGGATGCGACGGCCCAAGACCAACAAGCTCACTACTGCCACCTGCTGTGGCGCCCTGTCAGCTATGGAGTGTAGTATGTCAGAATGTTTCCCATGCCGCTGTGAGTAATTGTGTAGTAAACTTGGAATGGGTTCACTACCAGGTGTGGGATGCCCAACACCAGCAAAAAAAAAAACAAACAAACAAAAAAAACACCAAAGAGTTCTCAAAAATGTTGGCCTTATCCCAGAAGTGTAAAAAAAGATGGTTTAGTTACAAGGATAACGTACAGTGACCTATTTCCCGAAAAGGTATGTACAAAAAAAAAAAACAACGTAACAACTCAAATAAAGAAAACAAAATACGATTTATACAACACAAAACAATATATCAGCAATATATAAGAGAGAAACTCATCTACGTCACACAGACACTAGATAACAGGGGGTTGCTTACGATTCTGCCACAACACGCTCGCTAGCCAGGTAAACTGACGCTGTTTTTGAGGGCGTACTCACACTATGCCATCCGTACCGTGCCCAGGCCCGTTTCCTGGATCATTTGAGAAGTGTGAGTGTGCTGAATCGGGCTCAAGCACGGTTCACTTGGCCGGCCCTGGCCCAGTCAGAAGAGGTGTGCCTGAGCGCGGTTCACTTGGGCGCGATACGTTTGTAGTGTGAGTGCAAAACGCGCCAAAGCCCGAAACTGAAAGCGAGACGTGACTATTAAGGGGCTGTTCCCTATGGATTTATCAATCATTCTAACTGTTCAGTGAACGCAAACTGCCGTAGTTTATTAAATACGCAAACTTCTCACTGCACAACAGCTGCGCATCTTCAGCAGACCTCCTCATTCCTGAAAATAGCATGTAACTGCGCCAAACACGTCTTGCTCCTTATTGCGCCGGCTGTATAATAGAGCTATGAGTTTTAAACATGTGAAGAGTGAGTAAATGATGACAGATGTTTAATCTTTGGGTGAACTATCTGTCATGACTGTCCATGTCCTCCAGATGCCACTGTAGTTTGGTAGCACACTCTCAGCGAACTACAGTGGCTTAAGAACTACATATCCATACATTCCTTCGCGCACACACCCGGTCTTCCATATATACTGATTTGCAATCACAGCTGTCTCTGTTTACCGTTGATTTCCTGGACTATATATTCAGTCACTCAACCTCTGTTCGTCCTTGTTGGTATGTTGTTCCCGATCATAGTCTTGTATCTTGTCATAGTTGTTAAGTTCTAGTTTAATCTGTTTGAGTTCCTTGTTTGTTTGTTTATTTTGATACTTTGTCACTTGGATTTTTGTCTCTGTCACTGCACAATACATCATTAAAACTGCACTTGGATCCTACACCCGTTTTTGTACCTGTTTCATCCCGCCAAACGTGACACTATCCCTTTAAGAAACAATGTTAGGACTGTCGAACATACCAGCCAATACTTCCGTTTTTCCTGGAAGTCTCCCATATTTCAGACCCATCTCCCACCACCCTCCCGTTTTGTTATTTCTCAGAAAACTCTCGTAATTTCACCCTGACCGGGTTACTCAGCTTTTTGGTACACCCTGTAACATCCCCGGGTCACTAACTTTGGTATAGTATCCAATCGCAGCATCCGCATGAAATTCGGTCCAAGACGGTGTCATAGATTTTCAGAGACAAAAGTTGGCAGGTATGCTGTCGTAGTATGGTTGTCATTTAAATATTGCACAAAAAGATGTCTCCTGAAGGTCATTGAGAATTTGTACACACACATGCCGACAATATTTTTGGACAGTTTTTAGGCATTTTGGGAAAACGTCCATTCCTCCAACACACTTCACACTGTCTGCACTGGGAAGGAAACAGGCCAGGACATTGTGCTCGAGGGCTGTCTGACACTGAGGTCAGCGTGTAATTTCACAGACGTCTTTACTGTCTGCTCAGCTCGGGAGATTGCATCTACAGTCTCCATGAAGGAACTAGTGTAAGCATCTGTGGCGAGCTTGACATCTTAAATGAAAGCACCAGCTTTATCAGTCTGAAAAGATATAACCATAGAAGGTCTACAGACACACACACATTGCTAAGACATCAAAATAAATATACTAGTATAAAAATAATTCAAATTGAATGCCTCACAGCAAGGAGGTCGCTGGTTCGAGTCCCGGCTGGGTCAGTTGCGTTTCTCTTTGGAGCTTCCATGTTCTCCCTGTGTTGGCGTGGGTTCGGGTGCTCCGGTTTCCCCCACAGCCCAAACACATGCGCTATAGGTCAATTAAATAAACTAAAGTAGCTGTAATGTATGAGTGTGTGTGTGAATGAGTGAGTGTATGGGTTTTCCCAGAGCTGGGCTGCAGCTGGAAGGGCATCCGCTGTGTATAACATATGCTGGAATAGTTGGTGGTTCATTCCGCTGTTGCAACCCCTTATAAACAAAGGGACTCAGCCTGAATTCCTTGTGAGATCAGGCTGGAAACTCACACTAAATCTGATAACTCTGCAGCCTGAATCCAGCACGGGACACTAACCTTAGTAATAGCAGGATATCCAGCAGCCACGTCAGCCGGGCAGTACAGGCGCTCTTCATGGGACACTTCCACTACGGTGGCCCACTGGTCCAGAAAACCATTCGGTGTGTACAAACCACAATCCTTCACACTGGTCTCCCGCTCGAAGTCTTCACACACACCGTCACCGTCATAGTAGTAGCACATGCTGGGCTCATCTGCACAGACGGACAAGTTGGAGAAGCACAATGTTAGCATTGCATGAATTATGAACTCTAATAACACACAAATATTATGTCTTGCTGTGTTATGAAGTCTAATGAACATGCTGCTGTTGGTCACACTTTAATTTAATGGTCTGTTTGTTTGATTTAAGTTACATTGCATCTACATTCCAACTAATTCTCATTCGATTATAAGTAGACTTTTAGGTTGGGGTTAAAATTATACGCTCAAATTTATTTATTTATTTATTTATTTATTTATTTATTTATTTATTTATTTATTTATTTATTTATTTATTTATTTATTTATTTATTTATTTATTTGTTTATTTTTTGTTTGTTTTTTGTTTGTTTTTTGTTTGTTTGTTTGTTTGTTTGTTTGTTTGGTCATTCTTTCATTCATTTATTTATCTATCCATGCATCCATGCATCCATGCATCCATGCATCCATCCATCCATCCATCCATCCATCTATCTATCTATCTATCTATCTATCTATCTCATCTATCTATCTATCTATCTATCTATCTATCTATCTATCTATCTATCTATCTATCTATCTATCTA